TAACCTTTTTCCTATGATCGCCCCCTTGGACGAGTTATGAATACTACATACAACAATCGCCCCCCCACACCCAATTAAATTGAAACAAATAATGAATCTATACAAAAGGTAAGTATCCATATTTATTTATTTTTACATTTCGTAAAATGATAAATGGTTACACAGGCATGGAAATAATTTTTCGGAACATAGGAATTTTAATGCAATAAGTAGATTCCTTGATTTTCAATTAACCAGTGTAAATTTCCAGATAACGTCGCAATGTGTCATATTTAATTCATTTGTTCGACTGGATATGCTGTACCCACTGAGTTCTCTGATTTGCAACCCCAAATTTATTACCCCATTACCCATTTGTCGTTTTCCGGATGCTAAACGCCCCCTTATCGCCCCCCATATCGCCCCCTTCGCTCTATCGCCCCCCTGAATATCTTAAATCGCCCCTCGGGGGTCGATAGCCCCTCGGTTGGAAATCACTGGTCTAAAGAAGCTAACGTTTTGGGGTTAGCAAAGATGCGTTGCATTTGGTGGAAGACAAATGAAAGCAATGTTATTATCTTTACAAATATTGAGCACTTCTTTTGTAAAATGATTTGAAAAATTGTCTCTTATTAAGACCTTCTTTTCTTTAATTAAACGAGCATGAGGCAAAAATATATTCTTAAACCAATGGGCAAAACAAATTGCATCAAACCATCCATGATTAGATCGATTATAACGCTTATGTTTACTGCAGTATTTCTTTTCATTATATGGGGTGTCCATATCCTTGGCGCCAAGAATCCCACAAATTTGTTGCCGAAACACATATAATTGTCACAGGACTTTTAGCATAATTTATTATATTGTCTGGATATCTGACGCCTCTTTGATAAATTAGTTTCTTTTTCCCGGATCATCACTTAAATTATTTTCGTCTTAATTAAATATTGCAGCAGGGTCGTCACATTCAAGTGTTTTGTTTAATTCTTCAAAAAAATTTGTTAATGTTTCAGCATCGACGTTAGCACGAGCTCTTTTTATGTTATTGCTTAAGCGTTTACTTAAAGTCTGTTTATTGTTCTTTAGAAACCCCTTAGCCTAATCTTACAAACAAACAAAATACGCATGTTGGACACATTTTTGAACTTTTCAGTCAAATTCACCCCAGCGGTCAACTACATCCCATTTTAGGTAGTTTTTGTAAATTATATGTACTAATTTCTTACTGCAGGCAACATAATGCAGACAACATTGTATTAATAACAGATAAAAGGGAAGAATTAAAAAATATGATGAATGAATTAAATAGCGAATCAACAAAAGTAGATCTACAAATGAATTATAATAGAACGAAAATTGTGACCAACCAACCAGAAGAATTAATAATTACAATTGTGCAAACAACTATAGAACAAGTAAAAGAATATGTATATTTGGGACAACTAGTTAAATTAAATAAAGAAAATCAGACCGGAGAAATTAAGAGAAGAATACGGTTGGCTTGGGTATCCTTCGGAAAACTTTCCTATTACTAAAAGATAGAAAATACCCCCAATATTTAAAAACAAGAGTCTTCAACCACTTTATACTTCCGTTCTCACCTACGGTTCTCAAACTTGGACGTTTACAAAGGAAAACATGGAAAAAATAGCAAAGACCCAAAGAGCCATGGAAAGGCAAATGCTGAACATCAGGCTATTAGACAAAAAAAGATATACTTGGATCCGGAACAGACAACAGTGACCGATGTATCAACAGGTCATACCAAACCATTGTCGGAGATTTTTCAACTACGAGATACGACGGCGTCCCGGTCCTCTTCTGCCAAATACTTTACCCTGCATAACGAGCTGAAGAATTTGATATTTTTCTTCGTTCCGCATCACGTGGCCGAGGTACTCAAGCTTACGTTGTTTAATTAAATTAAGCACTTCTTTTTCTTTTGTCATGCGCTGTAGGACCTCAACGTTGGTGACATGGTCCACATAAGATATTTTTAGTATCCTTCTGTATATCCACATCTCGAAGGCTTCGATTCGTTTTTCAGTGGCTTCAGTGTCCAGGCTTCAACTCCATATAGTAACACTGGAAGAACGTAGCACCTCACTATCCGCATGTTGGTTCCCAAACTGAGATCACTGCAGCACAGCAAGGATCTCAACTTAATAAATGTAGACCGTGCCATTTCAATTCTGGATCTAATCTCTTGAGCGTAGTCCCATTCTGAGTTGAGGGTAGTTTCGAGGTAAGAGCTAAGTAAATTTGTACGGCTGACAACCATGAATTTAGTTTTCTTAATGTTGAGGTTCAGTCCGTATGTTACGCTCACAGTTCGCACTCGGTCTAGTTAGGCTGGTTGCTAGTAACACAGTGTCATCGGTGTAGCGGATATTATTGATTTATTCACCGTTCACTCTGATTCCCATGTCTAGGTTTGTGAGGACTTCATTAAAAATCTCCTCAGAGTATATACTAAAAAGAGTCGGCGATAGCACACATCCTTGCCTTACTCCTCGCACGATCTTCACTTGGTCTATCCTTCGAATATCCGAATGTCCTTCTCATTCAATAAAATGTAGTGCCGTGACCATCTTCTGGTGCTGACAACGGTCAAATGCCTTGGCGTAATCAACAAAACCAATATAGACATCACAACTGACATCGCGGCGTCTCTGAAGTAGGACTTGTAAGGTGAAAAGTGCTTCACGTGTACCCATGGAATTGCGGAATTCGAATTGCATTTCACCGACATTTTCTTCGCATTTCTTGTAAATTCTGGCATGTATGATTTTAAGAAAAATTTTAAGTGCATGACTCATAAGACTGATAGTTTGGAAATCTTCGCACGTTTTCGCTGATCGTTTTTTTTGGTAGCGTTACAAATGTTGACAATAGCCATTCCTCTGGGATCGTATATGGCGTTGAACAGTTCAGTTAACTCCTTCGTGCTCACTTCACTCATCACCTTAATAAGTTCAACGGGTATTTCGTCCGGACCTGTAGCCTTACCATTCTTAGACTGTTTTAAAGCAGCCTTTACCTCGCTTTCTAGAATTGACGGCCCTGTCATGCAATTTATTTCCGGAAGGTTGCCTCGGTCGTCCCAGAAAAGTTCTTCGATATATATTTTCCAGATAACCAACTTCTCATTCACTGTAGTCGCCAGATTACCGTCTTTATTTATTTGGAGGTGTGTGTTTCTTCTCTTGTATTGACCAGTGGCTTCACGAATCCTTCGGTGGATATTTATATGATCGTGTTTCTCTTGGAGCTCCTCGACTAGTTTACATTTTTCTTGAATCCATGTCTCCTTGGCTCTTCGTGTTTCTTTTTTAATTATCTGGTTGGTTTCTTGGTGTTTCTCTGCGTCCTTGTTTTTCATTAGTCACCTTCTTTGTTCCATCATCTGCAAAATGTCATTAGTCATCCATTCTTTATTTTTTACTCTTTTTTTCTTTCCCCGATGTTTTTTTTCCGCATTCAGCATAACGTCTTTGATATAACTTCATTTTTGTTCTACACTCTGTTCTTGTTTGTTGAGCCGTTTCTAGTTTTTATCTCATTGTATTTCTCACGTTCTGACGAACTACGGGGTCTTTTAGAGTGTCATAATCCAGGTTCTGTTTAGGTTTATTTTTGATGAGTTTCTTTAGTTTGAGTTCTATCTTGCCCACTAATGGGTTGTGGTCCGATGAGACGTCCGCTCTTGGAAGGTCTTCGCCGAAGTCAAGCTGTTCTTGAATCTTTTGTTAATGAGAATAAAGTCTATCTGATTTCTGATGATATTGCTGGCTGTATCTGCAGGTGACTTCCACGTATAAAGTCGTCTCGGGGGAAGTTTAAACCACGTGTTGGCAATGGTAAAATCTTGTTCCCGGCAAAATTGTATGAGTCGGTCTCCTCTTTCGTTTTTCTCGCCTAAGCCGTGTTGTCCGACGATGTCTTCTACACTGCTTTTACCAACTTTGCCATTGAAATCACCCATGATGATGGTTAGCTCGTTCTTCTTGGTGTATTTTAGTGCTTTTTGTACAATTGCATAGACCTCCTCGATATCCTCTTCTGGTTTTTTTAATGTTGAAGCGTAAATTTGAATGATGTTCGTATTAACGGGTCTGCTTTGCAGCTTCATCAGAATGACCCTGCCAGAGAGAGGTATCACGCTGATCACAACCCCTGCGTTGATACAGATGTATCAACGCAGACAGCAAAACTTAAGTGGAAGTTCGCTGGACATACCATAAGACAAAAAGACGACAGATGGAATAAGATGATTATACACTGGAGAGTATATAGTTGCAAATGAAAAAGAGGAAGGCCACAAATGAGATAGTCAGATGACTTAAAGAAACACGCAGGCTCGAAGTGGATACAAACTGCCTATAATAGAGAGACGTGGAAGAAGGAAGGGAGGCCTTTGTCCAAAATTGGACAGCAAGGGCTGTATAGATAGATAGATAAAAATTTTCAAATATTAAAAAGTTTTTTAATCTTACTTACGAGTTTTTACACTCATTGCTGGTACTTTTACTTATCAGTACAAAAACAAATAACTCGTTTCAAATATTTAAAGAATTTTATAAATGTTCGAACTATAAAAACACACGTTTGAACACTAAGGTGTCATGACGACCTTCATCTAGTTTTAAAAACTCACTTGGTATTTGACCTAGACCAGGAAATTTATTCGTTTTCATCCATCTTATTGAATAAAATTATACAAACATAATTCCCAGAATATAAAACATAAGTGGTGAGAGTGTTTGGTGTTTGTTGTTTCCTTAAAATAACTAAAATAGTAATATATTTTATTAATTAGATTAAAATTCTCTGGTTGCACTACATTTTGTAAGCAGTGTATAACACTTATTCTTTATTTATAGTGACATATCGCTCACGGTAAGGTATTTATAAACATAAAAATATCAATACAATTACAAAAACATTTGTAATAATAAAAATAAAACAGTAGTTTGCAAATGTTAAGAATCTACTGTGAATAACACTGTTAAAAGGATCACGTACTGAGATAGCTATATTGTTTAATTGTTTCTTAGTCAATATCTGAACAATAACTCGGCTTGTGGTTACGTATATGGTGGTTTTAGTTGTGTGTAGAACGTCGGTTCATAAAAATCCCACCAGGCAAAGTATTTGATGCTAATGTTTACTCATTATGATCGTTTAATACATATTATCATTGCTGTTACATAGATAACAGGAGAGAATGTCCATAGCGTTGATGGCAGCCAGATAATTTTTAATATTACTTTTAGAAGAGTAGCAAAAGAATCTAGATAATTATGGAGTTACAAAATAAAGGTAAGTATAGGTTTTATTTTTGATATTTTTTTAGTTTTTACTTGTGTTAGCCTATTTTAACATTTCCCCAATATGGTCACGATTTAACTTTAACCCTGAAATATTCAATGTTGGATATCCCTTTTGCTTCTCATTTTTCTTTACCAAGAACTATGTGCATCTGTAATTAGAACTTTATTCAGTAAAATATCTGGCTTCAGTTTTAACTCTTTCCTTGTTAATAATATCGACTGTAATACGATATATCATATTCTATTTGCCTTTATTCTTATCCTATTTTGTCTATGCGGCGTCGGTTTCCTATTCCTTATATATTTCTATCTCGGGGAATATCAATTTCAAGCCTTCTAACAAGTCTTCTTTCGTTTCTTTTTTCTACTTCTTCCAGAAATGTGCAACTCCAGAATAAGATGAAAGGCAACCGTAAATACGTATTTCTGACTATTGGTCGTCTTCAGTACAATACAGCCAAATTAGAAAAGGATCATCTCTCTCTCTCTTCAATCCTGACCCCCCAGGGGGAGTATAGTGGTCGACGTGATGTCGTGTATTGTCCGTCTCCAGAGATCTCTGTCTCTGGTCATTTCTTTTAATTCATGCATAGGTCTTTGGCATATTTCTGTAATTTGATCTATCCATCTTGTTGGGGATCTTCCTCGTGATCTTCGGCCTTCTACCTTTCCTTGTATTATGAGTCTTCCATGTTTTCTGCTCTCTTAAAACTTTTAGCTCTCTTAAAATTGAATTATTTGTTCTGCGGTCGGTCCAAGGAATTCGTAACATTCGTCTCCAACAGAACATTTCAGTGGCGTCTATCTTTCTTCTCTCCGATTGTCTCAGAGTCCAAGATTCACATCCGTAGGTCAGTATTGTGAATATTAAGCAGTTGATCAACCTTATCTTTATCGCTCTTGAAATTTGACAGTCCTTCCATATTTTGGTCATTTTTGCTGTGCAACTTTTGCTAGATCAGATCTACGTTTAATCTCTTCTTGTAATGACCCTGTGTTTGTGATTAATGATCCCAGATATAAGTATGAGCTCACAACCTCGAACCGGTCAATTGTGGTTATGTGTGGATGATTGTTGTGTAGTCTATCCACTATCATGATCTTTGTCTTTCATATGTTTAATTGCAGACCAAATATTTGACTTTCGTTTTAGATCAGTCGTATAAGTTCTATCAGCTCTGCTTGACTATTTGCAAGAAGGCCTGTGTCATCTGCGAAACGTAGGTTGTTTAGTTTATGACCATTTATTGAGATGCCCTTTTCCCATCCTTCAAGTGCTGTTCGCATAATATACTCCCCATATATGTTGAATAATTGTGGAGATAGTATACATCCTTGTCTGACACCCCGTTCTGGATGAAATTCGTTCGAAAGTGGGTCAAGTACTTTAACTGATCCAGTAGTGTGTTCATATAGTTCGGTTATAAGCGTAATTAGATGTTGTGGTACGCCTACTTCTTTTAGTATTCACCATAAGTGTCTCCATTTGACCCTGTCGAACGCTTTACGGTAATCTATAAAACAGATGTATAGTGGGATGTTGAATTCCCTAGACTTCTCGATTATCTGCCTTATATTCAGCAGGTGTTCT